TTACGTAGTACAAAGCAAAAAAATAGGTACAGACATTTTCTGACATTTTCCGATTCACAAAACATTGCGTACCGGCGAGGGAAGTGCGTACCGGCACTTCCTACGCCTGTTTCCCTTTATAAATCACAATCGACTCGAAATGCGGCGCAGCTTTTGCAGGCTTCACGTAACGCCCATATTTGCCTATAAATAGTAAAAGAAACGCCCATTCATTCATTTTGACTGACTGCATGAAGAAGATCGCAGGACATTACGACCGAACAGCTAAAAAAGACATCTCACACCGTGTCAGATTTTGGTTATTTTGGGGAGGTCGAGATAAATCATATTGTTTGGTGGATGCAGTTTGAACCAGAGTAGCAGCATGGAGGTCGGATCGTCACTAAAATAAATAAATAAGTGGTCCGAAAAAAGTTAATGACAAAAAAAATACACATAACCTTCCTCAGGCAGTGTGTTTGTCCCGGGGACAGGAGACACCCCCTTGATGAGAAACTGTAAGAAATGATCGGGGAATCCCTCCGGAGTGGAGTCATGACGACTGGATCTGAATTATTTTGTTGTATTTGGTGGTTTGTGTTCCAGCTGTCGATCAGCATATATCCATAATCCACCAGTTAAAGGAAATACAACTAATGTGTTGTGTTCAGTGGCGAGCCGTGAGCTTTATACCTAGGCCCTCTGACCCCCACCCCTTCCCTCGAAAAAAAGGAAAAAAAAGTTATTACGTCACAGCGTATACTTCAGCGGAATATCAAAACAACGGCCCAGGGTGCAAAACTCATCAATGACAGCGACCCTCTACCACACAAAACAACACCTGTGAACCCAATTTGTGTTCTTTGACATTGAAAATGATATTGCATTGTGTTTGTTACTTTCGTTACAGTTGTATGTCTTAAGTGTAATTTGGCATGCTTTTATTTTGAAGGCGAGTTCACGCTGTTGACAGGAAGTTGTTGTTGCTATGGAAACAAGAAAAGTTTCACAGCGGGCGGAACTTGTCATAAAGTCCGCGATAATGAAACCCACCCATTTAGAGGGAAGATATGATTGGTCAATTGTACTGTCATTTGACATTACTCTCTCGTTCAGTTACTATAGCGGGCCCTCTGTGAATCGCAGAGAGGGCCAGACCTTCTTTCATGTAACCCTTCACATTCAAACAGAGACCGAACAGGCAGATTCGAAGGATTTATTTATTTGGAAATGTTATTTTATTAAATCAAGTTTTTTTTCGGTAAAACTAATGAAAAATATAACAAAAATAATATAAAAAAAATATATATTTTTAAAAAATATATTTTTTTTTAATGTTTTTAAATATTATTTTTTGGAATATCTTAGGCCCTCACAGAGGGCCTAGAGGGCCCTGACGGCTCGCCACTGGTTGTGTTATATTAGCTGTACAATTTACCACATATGGTGTTCTTAGTTTCCATACCTCCTGTGTTTTACGAGCGACTTATCAAGTCTTGGCAAACGGCATAAAACACGATTAAACGTGATAGTATATAAAACCATGCTCGTATCTACAACCTATAGAAATGCAAAACGGCGTCAGTTTAGACGTAATTCTGTCCTCCTGCTTACCGCATCATTTATGAGAAAACATTTCATAACATTAACACAACATATTCGAGGTGGTTTTAAATAACATATCCGTATTTATTTATTTCTCCAAGTTATGTTTTTGTGTGCACTGAGGAGTCTCAAACAGGCGTTTGTTTAATCATTTTAAGATTGGCTTTAATCAATGTTTGAAAATGAATTCTTCATATGATAAATGAGAGGTAACATTTTATTTATTTCCACATATTTCTCTCCATTCTTCCTTCTGCCAACGGTGTCACAGTTTCTCGTCTCTCCCGTTGTTGTGCTTAGTGCGTACGCATGGGTTAGAGTTTGCGTGGAGGACCGCACATTTTCCCGTCAAGTTAGTATTTTATAAATCGCAAACATTGCGTAGAAACTGGCGTACGCCATTTTTTGAGCGTATATCCCTTTATAAATGAGGCCCCTGGAGATGTCGTACTAAACGTACTATTCGTTTTTAACAAGACTAAATGAAGATATTAAAACATGTGCACTGCCAAAGAGTGCCAGAAAATATGTGATGTTCTCTAGCTATCTCCAGGAGATGTTGGTGGGGTGAGATGATGGTCTGTTCAGATACTCTTTAATGCAAAAGAGACTAAGCCGCCCATTACACTAAAGATTTCTTAAAAGTTAGTCTTCACTTTTAGATCCTCTTGGACTTTTGGGACATGCATTTATTCTTCTTTGTCATCTCCACACATCCTTAGTGAGGCAATATTTAAAATGTGTTTGAGTGTTTATTGCTCCAGTCCTGCCCGCTGCCTCTGTTTCATACACTCAATTTAAACTTTATTCTTCTCATTCTCTTAACAGAAGGATTTCATTTTCATAGGTGATTGGTAAATGCTGCTGTTCCTGTACATTAAAAGACCTTCACATAAGATATGTAGAGTCCTTGAGAATGCAGCAGCTGTTACACCTGTGCTGTTCCAATACTTATCTGATACACAGACGGAAAGATACATGGAAACATGTCGCAATAGTTTGAATGAACCCAAACAAGCAGGTGAACAACTCTATAGAATAAAAAAGTATGTATGTTATAACTGTTTTCTGTTAGACAATTATTTCAGTATTAAATTGTGTTTGCAAAATCAAGATTACATATATTTTACATAATGTGAAAACCTTTATTTGAGCCCCACATCACCACATATCATTCCCAAATTAGACAAAATTAATGTTGATGAATTTGCCTTTGTACATTTGATCTTTTTTTATTCTGAGCTATTTATGTGCAATACATATTTATACCCCTTCACAATTATTATTATTATTATTGTTATTATTATTTCTGGCTGCTGTTCCTTATAGCTGGACAATTCAACTTCTCTAATAAATCTGTAAATAACTGTGAAATATATACTTCCACCTGTAATACTTTCACCTGGCTGCTATCTCATAACTGTTACTGGTACAGGATGTGTATTTTGTAAATTGTGTAATTTCTATTTTATACAAAAAAATGTTATGCATGCTTGTTAATTAATATTAAGCTTTATTTGGCTCTTTACTTGCTGTAACAATGTAAATGTCCCCTCTGTTGGATGAATAAAGGTATTCTGATTCTGATTCAGTGAATATTAACAGAGCAAGTAAAAACATAACTTTAACAATCAATAACGTTCTGCTTTCCTGTCCACAACAGCATGTAACACCCGAGGAGAGAGACACTGCCCTCACGTGGCACAACAATGAACAAGTACTTTTGCTGCTTCAAACAACATGCTTTATTATCAGGAATGCTCTTCAATTGATGAACTTCTGAACATTGCAACTGAACCTTCTCATATCAAAAATATGAAAATAAACAAAATATGATGATTGGTAATTTGAGGGATTATGTTGTTATAGTGGAAGTAAAGAGAGAATACATCGATGCTATATGTGGATAGAAATGTGACGGGAAATGGTGAATATTTACAGGTTTAATTTATACATTATGACAAAAAGGATGATATTTTCATAGAGTTACACATGGGAGGAGTGAGTAGTTCTTTAGATTTGAAAAATATTTTAATTTCATTTCAAACCTTTATTTATTCAGGTTGTATCCCATTGAGATCATTGATCTCTTTTTCAAGGGAGACCTGCTCAAGTAGGTTCCACATGAAACATTAAAAACATAAACAGAACAACAAAAAGGACATCAAACAGCATCATTACAGGGATTACAATTTACATAACTATCCACATGAACAGGTACCAACAGCTTCCGATTGAGTAGCATCCAACCGAGCTTTAAAAACATTTAGTGGCACCAGATTGCTCAGTTTCCATTTCAATTGCAGACTATTCCAAGACAGTGGAGCTGCGCATCTAAATGCTATCTTCCCTAAGACAGTCCTAGCAGTTGGCACATTTAATAAAACCACAGCATGCGATCTCAGGCAGTAGCCACTTACAATTCGCCGTGAGATCAGGGAGCAGATGTAGGATGGAAGTTTCCCTAACATGGCTTTGTATATAAAAATGTACCAGTGACTGAGCCTCCGTACAGTTAGCGAAGGCAAACCAGCCCTTGCATCCAGGGTACAGTGATGGGTTAATGCTTTACAGTTTGTCACAAATCTCAGTGCACTGTGATACGCAGCATCTAACTTGACCAGGCAATTGGCAGGTGCATTCATATAAATCAAATCACCATAGTCCAGCACAGGTAAAAAGGTCACAGAGACTAGCCTTTTCCTGGCCTCGAGTGAGAAACAGGACTTGTTCCTGTAGAAGAAACCTAGCCTAACCCTCAGTTTTTTAAGCAGGTTATTGACATGATGTTTAAAAGTGAGACAGTCATCAAGCCAGATACCAAGGTATTATATAAATATATTGTGTTGCCATAAATGTCTTTATTAATGCTTATGTGAAAAGCATCTATAGTTAGGCTATACTTGGCCTGGTTATATGATCTTGATGTAGGAAAGATTATTATACTTAACATGTATATTATTGTTGTGGTGAAAGGTGAGGGGTGACAGTATGATATGAGTCTCACCCCATGTAGATTTAAAAAAATGCATATATTTAAAGGATTGTTTTTGTTATTTTATTTTATGTATTGGTTCATATATTGTTTGTTATTCCTGTGTTTATTAGTTTTTGTTATTATTTTGAATTTAATTATTCATTTTAATTTAATTAACTATAATTGTCATTTCTTTTTAATTATGTATTTTTTCAGTATCTTGTTAATTTTTTTGAAAGCCAATACAAAATATAGTTACAACGAAACATGCACACATTTATACACACATAAAAACACACACACTTTTATATGTTTTCATTCATTTAAGTTTGAGATCGTATTCAATCGAATTACCTGTGTCAATATATAAAATTCATGGAAATGAAGGTTAATAAAATGACTTCTTTACACACATATATAAGTGTACATTCATGTCTTTATTGTGGTCAAAAGCATGTTAACAGAGTAACAGTTTTACAGTGAACTGGTTTAATCAGACATATGTAACATCTCAGTTGCTAAGGACAAGTTGTGCGAGATGCACAAACTGAGGGAATAGTATTAGAACATTGTCTATCGTTCCATTTCTGACCAGAGTTGGGGTGGACACAGTGTTCAAGTCCTCCAGTGTTGTCTGGCTGTCCTGCATACCAAAAGAAAAACTTGGCTGCACACCCATCAGACCACATCCAGCTTCCTTCTTGGTGGACGTCACTGAGTCCGATCCATGTATTTCCCTCAGCAGGGTCAAAGTTCTTGATCAGTGATCTGACAAACTCTTGTTCGGCCTGACTGTGGATAGACACCAGGTTGGCTCCCTGGGACAAACATTGGAGCTCTGCTGCAGCCCAGGTAGAATGTGTGGCGATGTACTTGTAACAGCGGCCGTTGAAGGAGAACCAGAACATGGGACAGCTGCCACGCTGAAGCTTCCCTTGAGGGTCATCTGAAGGAGACACAGCAACCAGAGCCAGACCCAGCAGGAAGAGGAACAACAGCATGATGATGTCTCTCCGTCACAGGAGCAGGATGAAGGGTTGTTTGTCGGTTGAGTTTATTCAAAGCGTTGGATGGGATAGAGACTCTGAAGGAGACAAGTGGCTGCTTTTTTATGTGCATCAGGGAGGGTGTTTTCACTGTTGGCCTAATATTATTGGTCAACTGAACTTGGCAAACTCTGTCTGTTTTACACAACCACACAGTACCTGGCTCAGCTCAGCTGGCGATGTCACACGGAATCCATCATTTATTTTCAACCAAACCAAATGAAGGTATTAAATAAAACGTTTGGACTGCCAAAGAGTCACAGAAAAACATGCTTTTCTGCAGGAATATGTTGATGCTAAGTGATCACTAAAGAAATGTTCAAAAGTGGGTCCGCACTAGCTGAATGTTCTGTTTTTAGAGATTTCTCTAAAAATGCGTTACTTTGCTGTGCATGTGAGAAATGATGAAGAACACTTTTATTACAATTGTTTATTCTGCATTGTACATTACTCTCCACAGGGCCTCAGTGAGACAATATTTAAAGTGTGTTAATCTGTCTGTCTCTCAATCACAACAGTGTTATTTCATTTTCATTAGTGAGTGTGTCATAAATCTTGATGAGTGTTCATTAAAAATATTCCACATGCTAGATACAGTAGGTACTGCTTGTGACTTCAACAGCTGTTACACCTGTGCTGTTCCCATACTTATCTGATACACTGAGACTGAGGTGGACAAAAGACATGGAAACAAACACTTTAAAATATCAACAGGAACAAGCAGGTGATAAATGTGTATAACAAAAATAATCCATGTTGTTACTGTTCAGTGTTTCGCTAATTATTTGAATATTACTTTTGTACTTGCACAATGAACATGAAAAGGAATAATTAATTTATAACATAATTTTAATACATTTTATTTAGGACACCACATTACTAGAGTGACTTCTTAACTTAGGCTAAATGAATGTTGACAAAATGACCTTCGCACATTTGTACGAAAATTACGGAGCTCCAACATACACAGAGAGTAAAAATATTTACACCATTTTCACAAGGCCTTTCTACGACACTTAATATGAACAGATCACCGCTCTGATTTATTAGATCTAGCTGTCACAGAATCACTGACTTCACAAAATGCATCTTTGAAATGAGACTTTGTAACTTTTTTAAGAGAAGTAAAACACATTGTTGGTCTTATAAATAAAACGCTTAACAACTAATTGTCCAATTCAACAGTCCGGGTTTTGTTGCTGCTAAATCATATTATATCATATTATATCTGATTTTATTTGATTAACATTTGTTTGTGCAAGTTTGTGTTACGTGGAAATTACTAATACAAAACATAACACTTTTTATACGTCACTAAATATATATAGTACTTTTTAAAGCTTCAAACCACAAACATGCTTTATTCTCAGGAATGCACTTGCAGTTGATGAACTTCTGAACATGGCAAGTGAAACAATACATTATGATTGCCAGTAATGAAGTTGCAATAGTTGCAGTAGCATGGGGGGTGGGGAAGACATTGATACTACATGTGAATGATTATTTATATAATGATTATATAATAAAGGTATAAATGTAATGTGATGTTTGACATTAATGTCTTTATGATCAGATATGTGAAAAGCATCTATACAGTAATACTTGGCCTGGTTATATGATCTTGATATAGGAAAAAGTATTAACCTTAACATGTATATAATTGTTGTGGTGAAAGGTGAGGGGGGACAGTTTGATATGAGTCAAATTACATATATTATGATTGTTTTTATTTGTTAATTTTATTTATTGGTTTATATAGTATTTTTTCTCTCTGTTTTTATTAGTTTTTGTTATTATTTTAAATGTAATTATTCATTTTAATGTAATTAACTATGATTTTCATTGCTTTTTAATTATGTTTTTTTCTGTATCTTGTTAACTTTCTTAAAAGCCAATACAAAATGTAGATACAAAGAAAAATGCACACATTTATACAAACACAAACACTTTTTATATGTTTTCAGTTAATCAAGTTTGAGATCACCTGTGTAAATATATAACATTCATGGAAATGAAGGTTAGTAAAATGACTTATTTACACACATATAAGTGTACATTCATGTCTTTATTGTGGTCAAAAGCATATTAACAGAGTAACAGTTTCACAGTGACCTGGTTCAATCAGACATATGTAACATCTCAGTTGCTAAGGACAAGTTATGCGAGATGCACAAACTGAGGGATAAGTATGAGAACATGGGAAATCATTCCATTTCTTAGCAGAACCAAAGTTGGTGCAGACACAGTCTTCCCTTCCTCGATAGTTGTCTGGCTGTCCTGAACTCCAAAAGAAAAACCTGGCTGCACACCCATCAGACGACATCCATCTTCCTTCTTTGTGGATGTCACTGAGTCCGATCCAGGTATATCCCCGAGCAGGGTCAAAGTTCCTGATCATGGATCCGACAAAATTATCTTCCTCCTGATTGCGAATAGACACCAGGTTGCCTCCCAGTGAAACGCAGTGGAACTCTGCATCAGCCCAGGTAAAATGTGTGGAGATGTACTTGTAGCAGCGGCCGTTGAAAAAGGTCCAAAACACGGGACAGCTGTTTTGCTGTGGCTCCACTGCTAGTTCTTCTGAAGGAGACACAGCACCCAGAGCCAGGCCCAACAGGAAGAGAAAAGCCTGCATGATGATGTCACCGTCTCTGTCTGTTAAAGTTGAACTGAACCGTTGGATAGTAAGAAGATTCTGTGACAAGTGACTGGCTGCTTCTTTTTATGTGCATCAGGGAGGGTGTTTTCGCTGTTGGCCCAATATTAGTGGTCAACTGAATTTGGAAAACACTTTCTGTTGTGACTCATTTGTTTGTCTGATGCCCGAAAGCAGATAAGAAACATAACAGGTAGTTTTATATTCCAGCATATAGTTGTGAACCAGAAAAAAAACATTTTCTGAAAAATGCCCATTTCTGAACCTCGGAACCTCTCCCTTATGTCCCATTAAAAATACATGAACAATATATTAAAATACATTTAATGAATGAAAAGATGCTCTAAAATGGTGTCTCTTTCCTGTCCTTTTGATTCATTATGATCTAAGCTTTGGAGTTCAAATAAGGATGAATACATTTGCAGTATAAATGTTTGTGTATGTTTGTCTATGGTTGTGTAATGTCGGGTATTCCAGAAAGACAAAGTCCCATCCGCAATTATTTACTGTGCAAAGTACAATCACAAAACATTGGTAAAGTTCACGTTGCAAACACTTTAAGTTTCACACAACTACACAGAATATGAACATTACCCAAAAAGACCACAAGCTCACCTGGAGATGTCACATAAAACCTATGATTTATTAATTTAAGTCAAATGTTGAAATAGTAAAACACTGCTTTAGAAAAGACATGTGGCTTCAGCTGTCAGAAGATTGCTGGGACACAAGGAGAGACATATTGCTTTCTGTCTGACTTTTCTTTTTATGTATAACTGAAAACTACATACCAAACATGGGCATATATTTACACATAAACAATATTACAGTAGTACAAAGCCTTCAATGTGTCCTTTCTTGAATTGTGAACTTTTTTATTTTAACATGCAAACAAGTTTTAAACAACATTGCTTTAAAAAGAAAAGAAAATTACTTCACAGAATGGCCAATAAAACACTAAATACACCTTCCTGTTGGTTTCCTGTCCATTACAGCACCAGAGCAAAGAGAGGAGAGTGATCACAAAACAGGTACATTCGAGTATTTAAACCTTAAACATCTTTTCTTCTCAAAATGCTCTTGTACTTTGCTGAACCTCTGGCACCTGAACGTTTGTCACCTCAAAAATACATAAAACAATAAATAGGTAATATAACACAGTACTTCTGCTCTGTGAACACAAAGAACAGAGGAGTGTTTGTGCATGTGTGCGTCATGTACAGGTTTTTAGTATAAAATGACTACCACAAGGCCTCTCTATGACACTGAATATGAACAGACCACGGCTCTGATTTATTAGATCTAGCTGTCACAGAATCACTGACTTCACAAAATGCATCTTTGAAATGAGACTTTGTAACTTTTTTAAGAGAAGTAAAACACATTGTTGGTCTTATAAATAAAACGCTTAACAACTAATTGTCCAATTCAACAGTCCGGGTTTTGTTGCTGCTAAAGCCTTGTTGTGGCTATTGTTGAAAAACTTTACGTCACTAAATCTATTTAACGGACAGTCAGTTTGCTGACTCATGACTCTTCCACATGTGCCACTGTTACAGAGGTTAGTCTTTAGCTAAATGCTAAATGATTAACAACAGCTTAGCAACTAGCATCATCCCATACCTGCCTGAAGAAGGTTTCTGCAGCAAAAGTTACACAGTCTCATTTTAAAGGGGAAATCCACTCTCAGAATTTATGAATATTATTCTAATAATCTTGAATAGTTTGAGTAGATGTGTGGATATGAACAACTCCTGGAGAGGATTGATCTCAAGACTCAACACACACAACAGGTTAAGAGTCGTCAAACGAGTCTTTGCACAGAAAATGACTAAGCTGCTCAAAACACACACATTATATTTAGTGAGTCTTTACCTTAATCATCTCTGATCTTTTTGAACCAGAGATGTTTTTGGCACTGGAACAGTTGGAAATCCCAGTCCACCGGTTAATTATGATCTGGAGGAGACACGCCCCTGTGCTCTGAAAGGCTTGGTGTTGAAATGATGATTAACACTAGTGGCAACAACATTTCTACTACTTCTACTATTGCACGTTACCACCCGTGTTTTAAAAGTATCCAAACAATGCGATACATGCATCGCTACATAACATTTAGGAATCTCGCCTTTGGATGTTTTCTCCTACTCAGCAGAAATGTAGCACTGATGTGACAGGCTAAGCGTTTTACAGACACAGGGCAGGGACAAAATAAACACAAACACTTATTTATAGTTTGCCAGGTGATGTTGTGGATCTAAAGCATGTCTCTTTGTACGAGTCATTGTAACTCATTTCTCATTTCTAAATGATTCCCCTCATGCTGCTCCACATTTCTTTTCAGGATGGTCCCTCTGTGATTGAAATAAAAACTGTTTTTCACATGTCGGGGCAATGTAAACAGGAATATATTTGTAGGATCTGTTGGTTCAGAGAAGATACATTTTCAGTCCATACTAGTTAGTGGTTGCAAGGCAAAAATAAAGCTGTAAGACTCCTACCAGGCAGATTTACTAAATCACACTTGTGCCTCCTTTATTCTTTCCACACCCTGTGTTTTCACAGTTTACACAAGACTTCTGAATAATGTGGACATTTCAGTCAGTAAGAATAAAAAGTCAAAATCTCCTCATGTGCTTGGCTTATCGCTTGACATATTTAACATAAGGCTTTACAAAGAGAAAAATATAGTAGGGCTGTTTGTCCTAATCCAAAACCACCACACAGACCCTGATCTAGCTTTCCAACAATTATTTACTTTTTTTTTTTTATTACTTTTTACTTTTTTACAAAAAGCGTCTTTAAAACTACACTATGCATCTTTGATGAGTTAAAACATTGAGATTGTCTTTGAGATCCCGTCGACTTTCCTCATTTAATAAATTACATTTGCTAAAAAAAGGAGTTTCGTCCCTGTTCATGTGAACTTAAAGTTAAAAAGAAGATAAATACTTTTCATTTCAAACCATTTCTTCTTTATTGTACTATATCTTTCACAGAGCCTCAGTGAGACGGTATTTAAAGTGTTTTTGTTATGTTCGCCTGTCTATCAACAGTGTGATTTCATTTTTAATAGTGAGTTTAGTTATTTGATAAAAGTTGAGGTTAGTATTAATCACGACTCACATGTGTAGTGTACGGTTGTCTGGAACTGTTGTTCCACCTGGGCTGGTCCCACATTTATCTGATACACAGAGACTGAAAAATACATGGAAAAATGTTGTAATAGTTTGAAGCAACAGAAACAAGCAAGTGAAATGCAGCATCTGTGGAATAAAAAATGTCCCTGTTTTTACTATTTACTGTTTTGCTAATTCTTTGAATATTACATTTGTACTTGCATAATGAAGATTAAATGAATTTTGTATTATTACATAATGTGAAAACATTTAGTTTGAGCCACAACAATACCAGAGTGACTTCCCAATTTAGGCTAAAGGAATGTTGATGAAATTACCTTTGAACATTTGTTACTTTATTTCAGAGCTCTAATGTATTTACACGGAACAAGTAAAAACCTAACTTTAACAGTCAGACCCTGTCGAGACGAAAGTCAGTATAAAAAGGAAAAAAATAATATCTGATGAAAACGGATGGACAAATAATTATTTGTATGTATTTTCATTTAGATTATTGTAATTATAGGTGTTCAATACCAAGAGGGGGTATTCGTTTTCATTTTGAATACCGTAGGCTACTTTTTATCAATGAGAAGCGAGCTGTCATTAAAAAGAATGAATGCCGCTTCCGGTAACAAAAGGGGCAGGAATTATGATGGCCGGTCCCAAAGCCACGGAGGGAGAAGTTGGCGACAGTGTGTGTGAGGCTCCAGAGACGCCGTTGGTATGTTTCTCCGGTGTTTATTGTGTTTTATGTACTTGATCTGTTGCCTTATTTTGTGAGTGCTGTTGCGTAATCGACGGCTTTTTACGCAGCGTGGTCTGCCTGCGCTCCGCTTGTTTGGTGTATATTTTAGACAGCGCAGGTGGTTTTCAGTTGAGGTTTTCTCTGGTGCTTATTTCCAAGTAGAGCAAAACACTCTCTTATTAATTCATTTAAGTAATGATGTGGTTGTAAAATAACTCACACTTTATCCTTTTAATTAAAATACCCTGAAAAGGCAGAAATGTGACTGGTGTTATTATAATTAGGAAAAATGCAATGAGGCATGCAAAATGTTTGTAATTTGTGTTTGCATGTGAGCTAACATTTGTTTGTGTTTTTGAAGGTTTTCAACCTGATGAAAATTCTTGGAGTTGTCTTTTAAAAATAAAGACAAAAAAGAACACAATCCGAGTTGTCCAAGCGTCCTCTGTTGCCCTCCAGCCTCTCAAGTTCGGGCAAATCACTATGTACATGCCAAAACCCTGAAGAACTTGACAGACCCTTTTTGCTTTCCTGCTCATTACAGCATTTAACACCAGAGGACAGAGACACTGACCTGCTCCTCTACTGCTCTCAATTGAAGACAAAACATATAGAACTTTGGCACCTGAGCTTTAATCATCTCAAAAATACACAAATATACAAATTACTACATTGAATAGTAATTTGATACATTTGATAACACAATCATTCTGTTTTACTAACACAATGACCAGTGGAGTATGTGTGCATCATGTAAAGTTTTATAGCAAACATTTCTAACAGAAGGCCTTTCTATGAGCTGACCACAGCTCTGATTTATTAGATCTAGCGTTCCAACAACCTGACTTTGCTTAACACAAATGGGACTATGGATCTTTGAAAAGAAGAAATAAAGGGGAAATCCATTCTCCAAATGTATAAAGAAGGCTAAATGTGTGTCCTTGTGATTAAGTCAGACCATTAATGGTTTCAGTCAGACAACTTACGTTTGTAATGTTTATTAGAAGCAGCATTTAGTTTGAGTTTGGCATCTAGGGTTGGGCCTCATCACTCCACAAATGTACATAGAACATTGAGTGATGATTAAATAACAATCCCATGGAGCCTACAGGAGGATGCTGGGGTGGTGGGGGGCAGGCGCGCAGCAGCGAGGTTGTAAGAGGGGCAGGGCGCTTTAAAGTGGACCTAT